GCGGGATTCTAACCGCGACACTGATTCATCACCTTAGACGAAATAGGGTGAATACATCTCATTACAACCTTCTTTTATACGAGATGTATATTTCATATTTTGTTTAAGTTGATGAAGGGCTGGTAATTGAATTTTCCCATAAGCATATGTGCATACCTTAAGTTTTCATTTAATTTTACATATTTTCGATGCGTGACATGTTTTGGTGTAGGTAGAATACAGCTCTTATTCTATTACTTGGGCCGACATAAAAGTAACTGTCTAATCCGCTCAATATTTCTTTTTTAAAATCATTTTTAATTCTCTGATTTCATTTGGCATAAGATCTTAGTCTGTTAAGATGATTTAAAGCTTACTTTTGGAATTTTGGCTACATTGCAATTTGCAGGCCTCATGATGCCGTTCAATCTTCCTTACACTTGTCTCTCAAAGGGTTCTTCTAGCCCCATCTGGACTGCAACTTCGACACTGTCCCACCTTCAACTTGATTCAGAACAAGGTCACGAGCATTGAGGCAAATCTGTACTACCCAATCGCACAGTTACTAGTTTCACTGGGTCATGGGGCAAGCCAAGCCTGCGTTAAATCGCATGTTTACACGATGACATTAGCGATGTATTTATATTTTTTATAAGCCGGTTTCCGAGACTACCAGTACATCATAGACATAATATGCATTCACCCTATTTCGTTTTTAAAGTGTGATTAGGGGACTGGTAGTTGCATTTTCCCACAATCAAATGAGTAGACCTTACGCTTTCTTCGAATTTCAAATAGCCTTGCTTTCTCGAAAGCTATTCTCATCCGGGTTGGTTTGAATGTTCGACCTCGCCTGGGTGTCACCAGCACCCCTGCGGGACTTTGACCGTGATAATTCAGCGCATACTATCGACACGATAACCACTACGTTGCACTGCTACGAGTTCCCTTTGGCCACAGGTCAGAGGTACATTTCACGAAAGGCCAGGCATTGTTCGATAGAACATTCTCTGATGGGAGTACCGCGAAGGAAAGTTTTATTTGATGTAGTATCGTGTACTGGTAGTCTGCAGGGCCTACTTATAAAAGAAAAAATAAGTAATGTGGTAGATTGCTGTAGCAAATACAAATCTGTTTCATCGACAATCCCATCACAGAATGCGATATGGCAAATGCCTGGCCGTCCTTTCAATTCAAGTAGACCTTTTCCCCCAAGGAAACTCGTGAAAATGCAGTGTATCGCTTAGCATGTCGAGATTATATGCTAAATTGGAATGGTTCGAGTCCGCGTGGAGCGCTTGTGAGAACCATACGAGGTCGGTCATGTGATCCAACCAGATTGAGAGTTCCTTTTGGGAAGCCAAGGTTATATGAACTCCCATGAAAGAGTAAGCTCTGTTCAAATGCATGTTGGAAAATGCAATTACGAGTCCTTTTATAGAAGTTGTTTGACCTTGTTTTCACAACTCGGTCATATTGGTAGGAAGAGT